GCGGCCACGGCTGGGCTGACTGCTCTGGTGGAGCAAATGCCTTCCCTGGAAAGGAGCCTGTCTCTCCAGCAGCACATCTCTGCCTTTATCCTTCCCCTGTGATAGCTTTGCACTGCTGCTGGCATTCAGCTCAGATAACTGTTTAGGTTATCTTCCATTTCATGATTGCTCCATCCAATTTCTCCAAAGTCAGTTGTGCACAAGCCTTCTTGATTAACCTTGACGGTCTCTCAACATCTGTGTTGTCGTGGTGCAACATCGCACTGCCTAGATCAGGCACCCTGTGCAGAGTTTAGCAGGAGATGGTAGCTTTTCTTTTGAGAAAGAAGAGATTGCTCCGGAGCTGGAGAAGGCTCCCTGGTACCACCCCTCTGCTTGCTTCAGGATGCTACCATTAAGGTGACTTTACAGTGGTAAACCTCCTGTTCAAGGACCTTTCATTAGCATATAACTGTGGATCCAAGGGGAACCTGACACCTTGTTTGATAAATAAAGGCATGATTAATATCAGGCCTCCCTGCTAACCAAAAATGCTCCTCAGGCCCCAAAGTATTCTGCAAACCACAGCCAGGTATGAACATCTTTCCAAATCTTGGGCACATCTACACTTAGTCTATAAGTCTCTGCAAATAAATATGAATGATTGTGACCCAGTAATCTGACAGTCCCTTTGAAATCAACACGTGCTGCTTGAGAGGGTGGTTGAGAAAAAAGAGTGGTTCAGAGGAACCCGTTGAACAACTTCATGCAACCCAAGCACCTGCTGTGGGCACCTCTGTTGAGACCTTGAGTGTGGGTGGTGTGAAAGCTCCTCATTCTGCCTATCAACAAGCTGGCAGAAATAACATTGTTCAGCAACTCCGGGAACCCAACCCATCAGACTTCTGTGCTGCGGCTTTGCAGCATTCCCTTTGATGTGTGAACTTTGAAGACCCTTGAAGGAAAATAATTTTCTTGTGTTTTTTTCATTATGCTGTTTCTGTTTACTGTAATGACAACAGAGCAAAAGGTCAGATGTATCAAACCAGGCTTGTCAGTCTTACGAGTGTCAATGAAGCTCCTGTTTTACAGAAATCCTGAGAACTCCCAGCTTCCTCTGAAGTCAATTCTATCATCCAGGAGTCCATGATAAGTATGACAAATTTGACCTGAAAAATCGTATCTATTCTGTAACTCAGCATTTTATCAAAATGGATGTAATCATAGCTTGACCTATGAAATTACAGGGATTTTTGTGTTTGAGAGAGCAAGAGATGGAAAATTAAAAAGTAGTCCTTTCCATTCTTCAGAAATTTTAATGAATTCAAGTACTTTACCTCAGATTTATCTAATAGTTTGGGTGGGAGTGAAAAGATGACTAATAGTTCAAGCTCACTTTTCTCTTTCCCAGTTTCTAAAACAAATTGACTGCTTAATCTTTCTTTGACCTGCAATACCTGGACATTACACTATGAACTTTTCAAGAAGTGAGCAGATTTCATGGCTAGTGAGCAAAACTGATTCCTAGGAAGATTTTCTGAGTACAGTTTTTTCATGTAGAGAGGAGATACAAGGCTCAAAAAAAGGGACCAAGAGCTACATCTTGACCTGGAAGCAGCTGAAGCTCCTGCCTTTGTGCTGCTCAATTCCTGTCCTAGGGATGCATTAGAGCATGGAGCAATGTCCTTTGTGCACAAACAAAAAAAACCATCAATTTTGCTGAAAACTGCCTCTGTCTCAGATGTAAAAGAAAATGTCTTTGGAAGATATTTGTGGCTTTGTGTTCATGAGTTACCTTGTGAATAAGTATGCGAGAGAGAGAGTGAGTACAAGGTGTGTATGCTGAATATTCCTGCTCTATCCATGCTCAGGACACAGATACCACCCTCCTGTTATAGTGAGACCATGGGATTTCTAACACCTAATATGAAGATTCTTCTTCATGAATAAGGAGATCACTACACCCAAGGTAACCCAAACAGGAGTCAATTTTTCCTGTGTGACAAAGACAGACATTTTTGGAGCTCTTATCTAGACGTTTCCCTAATCAAGCTTAGGAACTGGATTAAAGGCACTTCTTGTGGCTAGAATCTCAACAGTAATGGAAAACTATTTGGGAAGCAATTGCACATGAAACATACCTCAGAGAACTGCTTTTTCAATGGTTTTAATATGATACATCCTGCGTGATGATCCTTGTGGAATGTTTATTTGCATTTTCTGATGATGCTTTGGTTTCCAGTAAAAAGTCCAATAGTTTAACGAGAAGACTTACTGGCTCCTACACAGTTATCAAGTGATTCTTATACCATTAACAAACAGCTATTGTGCTATGGGAAAATAGCAAATTATATGTGACTGTAAGATTTTGTGCAGAATGCAAATCTGAATTGTTTGAGTATACACAATTTCAGAACACTTGACATGAAATGAATGCATCTGGTGCTGTTCTTCAATGGCCTTATGCTCTATAATTATATGCTATATGCTTAAACCTAGAGTTTAATTCTCATATATATTGAGATCTCTTTTCATCCCTTTACCAGGGATCTACAAATAACAGAGTCAGCCCCAGAACTGTTATTTGATATCACTTCAAAAATTAAGGATGAGATGCAGTCTTCCTAAGCACAGCGATCCTGTCTGTAAATAAACCAGACCTCAGCTCTGATTTCTATCTTGACAAGAACACTGTTGTATCCAAAGATACGACTTTATAAACATTGACAAGAGAGACCATGACCTCTTAATTTTTTCATAGGTATGTGTTTCCAGGGGAAATAGAATTATTTCAATCACAGATGAGAAGTCTCTGTAACACAGTGATTGATTTTGACACTGTAAGATTATTTATTGGCGAAGCATCCAAGTGGCATTAGAAAAATTAGCAGAACTGAAAACAGTATCCTGATTTTCTAACTAAGTATGGCCAGGTTTGTGAATTACTCTTTCACCTGTGTTTTAAATTTTACAGTACAAGTTTGTAATCTTTAATTTTTGCTTTAATGGAGGTTTACATTTTCAGAGCATATGCTTGTACATATTAATACATGAGAAGCATATGTGATAATTATGCATCTCTCTCCCTCTTCCCCCTCCCTTCCATCCATAAGAAGTGAGAGATTATTCTTCTACTTGTGAAACCAGAAATTATAGGTTCAACTATATTGTGCTCATGGGCAAGCAGGAAGAGGAGTGGTGAGATCTGCATGCCACAGGGATGCCCTTTCCTGGGCAGGTACGGGCAGAAACAAGGCTGATCTCACACATCTGGTAAGAGCTGAAAATGCAATGTTTGTCTTCAGCTCTCATTCTGAAAATAAAAGTTAATGGGTTTCTCCACTTTTCTGATCCTTTTTTCTAACAACACATTTTAACAGCAAATACAGAGTGGTATTCACCTCACAGAAATGTTGTCTGTCTCCCTTACCCATGAACCTAGTTTTTTCCCATATTTGTCATCACCAACAGAATGGCCAGGGGCAACCACAAAAGGTGGCACAAAATATTTCCAGAAGCTGAGGCAGATTTTGAGCATCACTGGTCTGAGCTTGACCAGAAAAAACGTGCAATGTGAACTCTTCTTGCAATGCACAGGACTCAGAGCAGCCAAGGAGCAGACGTTTCAGATTAACCAAGTTCATCACTCTTGGAGGAAAACTGCTGACATTGCTTTGTTCTTATGCAAGCAGAGACCCTGTTTATCTCTTGAATACTTATTAGATTACAAATATATTTATAAATCAGTTGATTTGATTCAAACGGAACTTTTTGAGTCTGGAGCTTGCTCTCTCAAAGGCTTTTTGCTTTTTGTTGACCAGTCTTATTTGAAAGCTACCTCACAGTCACCTGTGAGGATAAAGGGAGGGCTTAAACCTGCTCTTTACACAGATGAAAGCAAAAAGCTGACTTTTAATTGAGCCCTAGCACACCTTCTGTAAAGCTTTTCTGTAGGAAGGACAATATTTTTCTCAGAGACCACTCAAAGACTGATGCTGGTCTTACTACATTTTGCAGATGAACCACCAAAGCCAGGCCCTTGGCCTGTTTTCCACACCTGAGTGTAAATCTGATCCTGCCCCAGAATCTGTCCCCATTGCACTGGAGGAGGAAAGATCTCAGCGCCATGCCAAGTGAATACACAACATCACTTCCTGGTTATCGGGAAAGCAATGGACACATGGTTGTTCCACCTACTTTTTTCTCTATTTTTTTATGCCTGTGACATGTGCAACAGCAGCCCTCAGTTCCTGGGCATGAGGCTGGGTATCTTTGCCTCCCGCCCCTACTTCTAGACCTTCTACATGGAGGATGAGGTTTATTTTGCACCGATCCTTCTCCCGATCCCTCACAGCTTCCCGGTGTCCATTGCAACAGGAGAAAGTGTTTGATGCTGTTCATGGCTGCTACAATATGCACTTAATTAAAACAGTTGCTTAACTTAGGATC